CAAAAACCCATTACTAACGCGTTCCACCCTGGTTTAAATAATTTTTTCGTTATTGCCTTTAATATTTATAAATCCAAAACCATTAAAATGGCATCCCCCCCCCCCCCCCCCCCCCACCTCTCCCACATGTCTTGAGGGCCCAGATCTCACCTTTTCGTTTTCCCGTCGACAACAACCCCTTACGTATCTTAAGCCAGAGTCAGAACAATTCAAGTCCACTCTTGACAAAAAGGCAAGGAACCTCTTAGGCACCGAGGTTCAGATACACAAGGGTCTTCAGCCATGGACTCGTGCGCCAAAACGCAATGAACTCGTTGAACAACCTTCTGTTTCACAACGCACCAGTTTTATCCCTGGGCTATCAACGGGTACAATCGGCTTCTTGCTTACCCTGTGCAACTTGCTGATGCCACCACCGACTCTCCCCCTTCAGTCCCGTGGCGGTTCATTGTCAGGGTGGATAGATAACACCAGTTCATGTGTGACACTTTTCTATTGTCTTGCCTACACCGGGAGCAGCACCCAGACCCAAGCATTCGTGGAATCTGTAACATAAGATAACATGTTAACCCACCACCTATGCATCAACAACCCTATTGGGAAATGCCTACCTGACCGTCTCCACCATGCTTCACCCCATCCAAAAATATCTCCGTCAGTCTGATCCATGCTGACTGTCTATTGGTTGGGAAACCTAAACGCCATGGCTGTCCCGGAGGGGGCAAGGGAGTTAAGGGGGGGCAAGGTAGGCGTCGGGATACGTACGATAGAGGCGGGCGAGAGGAAGGGTGTGAAGGCTTGTGGGGAAGGCAGTAGGGTAGAACTTGAGGAGACAGTGGCGTGAATTTACAAATGTAGGGTCAAGCAAATCTAGAAACAGGACATGGTGTAGAGAACGGTGGTGGGGACTGGGGAAATCAAGATTTTCCCTCTTGGTCGGATGTCAAGACCCTGGGAGAAGACCCTGAAACGACCCACCAGATACCTATTGTTCACCAGCTTGGCCGCGACGAGAGCCATTGGGTGACAAGATTGCTCGATAGGGGTGGTCAGTCAGGTCCTTTGGATTGCTACACACCTAGAATCTTCGATTGATAGTTTTTCTTCCCGCTTCCTTCCACCACAACAGAAAGGCGGCCTTTGACAACAATCCAATCCTTTCCGCCAATGCTGTCCACCCCCCATCAGCTCACCGGCCGGATCTCTCCAAATCACAGGTTCGGAGCGATATAGCTTGGCGAATATAACTGAACCGACCCGCAACAGATCGGTGAAGGCCAGACTGTGGTGTATACCTGCCTACCAGTGGTGTGTGTGGACACAAACGGTCCCGCCCAAATGTCTTGGATATTAATCCGCTGCAGCTGTGTCTCCTGCCTGCCGCCTAGTTACGACCTACAGCCAACCACCGAGCTCGCAGGAAAGAGAAGGTGGGTAACAGTTGCGTCAATCTTGCAGCATTTGTCCTGAAGATAGCATGAGTATTTACACCCATCTCCATAGACATATGCTTTATTGGCCATTCAATGTTGCAGCGGCCATGATTTATCAAGGCCTCTGCTGTGGGTGGAACTGGCAGGCGGCGGACAAGTCCAAGACATGCAGAGTAACCCCCCCCCCCCCCCCCAGTCCCTAACGCGGCTGCAGGAGGGTGGGAATTACCACCACAATCCTACACACACTATCCTATCTATCCACCCGTCATGCACGTACAGGGAGGGGGCCCGTATCCGTAGCTTTCCCTCCTACCCTCTTGTTTGAGTTCTGATAAGTGAGCCACCCAGACAAAAGGATAAAGATTGCCGACTGTCGTAGTCGTACTGGATCTGTGCAATTTGATAGCTTCCCACCCTCCTGGCCTGTCGCTTGACTCCTCGCTGTTAATGAAGCAGAGAGGCCAGCAGTTATGCAGATATGCAATGCGGTCCATCAATTCTCATTTTTCTTTCTCAAACCAACCAAAGGATGGCCAAAAGTGCTACCAGAGGAATGCAACCCTCCCGCTCCCTTGGCCCATATCAGGTTATTGAGAAGCTGATAACTGATGGTGAAAAAAAGGTTGCACGAAATTGTTGCGAGGGATCCTCTTTTTGAATTTCGCGAGTAGAAGGGGTACACTCCTCAAGCCTCTTGCTTGCCGAGTTCATGTTGTCAAACAAACATCCATTGGAGGCGACCATTTTCTTGGTTTTTTTTCTTTGTGTTGTTGTAACGGCGGCTGGGCTTATTAGGTGGGGGTGGTTGAAGAAACAAAATGGCAAGTAAAAAAGAAAAGAAACGGCATCCGATCTGACACGAATGGCGGCCATGCGGCAGCGGCTGAGTGCCAGAAAGTACTGTGCCGCGCCGCTGTCGGCACGGGGAGCGGACGGACGTGGCGGCGATCGATCTGGCAGGGTCCGGATGTTGTCCCCGTTAACCTTGGCTTGACAGCCCCGTCAGCAACAAAGAAGGTGATCGATCGAGCGGTTCTACTCTGTATTACTGGGCCAGACTAGAACGTGGATGGGGAGGTTTTGGTTGTAGACAAAGTGCCGTCTCCGCCGGCCGATGTAGGCAATGACAAAGATGAATGAGCGACTGGAAGCACCTGGAGCATGCTCGAGCACCCTGTCATGAAAGAATCTCGAAAGAGGAGAGGGCTTTTCTTAGGCGCGATAACACCATCCACCTCACCTTCCCAGCCACGGCTAGACAAAATCCACTTCTTGTGTGAGCCGCAGATCAGATCATTTTGGGCATCATGCCATGCCAATGCCATGCTGACTCAGCAACAATCGGTGGGTACCTGTTGTGCACTGTCTCTGAGAGTAGTGTACCTATGTAGGTATACACACTCTCGGCTTTTCATCTATCAAGCATTGCTGGAAGTATAACATTAATCAGATGCAAGTATTGCGTGCATTGAGCCCATAGACAATCGACCTTGATGAAACGGCCGAGATAAGTCTCCGGCTGTTCTGTCGTTCCGGGTCTCGGTGGTTTGTT